GGGACCGGCAACGGGACCGCAACCCTCGGTGTTGCTCCCGCGCCTCGCTCAGCCAGTGAGCGGGAACCGGTCTGTATGTGGGATCCGAACCCTCGGGCGGGAGCGCCGCCGCGCTTCCCAAGCGGCGCACTATCCAGTGTGCCACCGGGTCTGGCCCTTCTTCTGGGAGGACTTCAGGGATTTGGAAACTTGCGAGTTTGAGTCCCAGGCTTCCTATCGGGGAGAGTAATTAACCATGTGATTGAAGTCCTGCTGATTCCTCTGGCCCCAGGACCGAGGTGAGAGCGAGGTGGAGAGAGTAAAGAGCGCGCTGATCCTGTGTTACGGGCACGTGGCCGTGCGGGCGCCCCGCGAGCTGGTGCTGGCCAAGGTCGAGGCCGACATCCTGCGCAACATGCTCCAGTGCTTCAACACTAAGGTGGGCGCCGAGCGGGCCAGGAGGCGGGGTTCCCGCCCACGCCAGCCTCACATTTTAACCCATCTCACTTTCTGTCATTCAGGTTCTGGGAATAAAGGTAGAGACCAAGGTACCGTGCGTGGGAATTACACGCTAACCACGTTCCCTCTCGTGTCTCTCTTCTAAACTGGGCTGAGCTCCCGGAGCAGAAGCCAGAGGGGGAGCTCGTAGGGCTTCCTGGCCCCAGCCCAAGGGGGCATGTTCTAGAACACCCCCAGGGACCTCTCCTGTCCTACTGCTCTTTGGAGCAGCCCCTCCTCTTGGGGCTGGACAGGGGCCAGAGCTCTTGTTCTGGCTGGGCCCTGGGTGGTGGGTGGGGAGGAGGGGGGCTTCCGCCACCTCTGAGTAGCTGGGCTGTGGACTCGCACCCTGAGGGGAGCTGAGCCAGCCCCCCTCTCCTTGTGGCCACAGCCCTTGCCCATCTGAAGACAGCCCTGAGTCTCCTCTGGCTCTGATCCGTGATGCTTATTGCGGGGGGATCTCTCTGGACCCCAGTGAGCACCCAGGAGAGGGTCCAAAGCTGGAGTCCAGCGGGAATGGCACTGGAGGCCCCTGGACCTCCTAAGGCCTGCCCTGGCCTCACTAACACGTTTCCTTTCTGGCACTGCTGGCACTAACCTGACAAAACCCTCACTGGGGAAGGTCTCTCCCCTACACCTGGAAGAGCAGACCCTTCTGGGTCTTCTGGGGTTGGCTGGAGGGTTGGGACCCAGGAGAGGGTCCAAAGCTGGAGTCCAGCGGGAATGGCACTGGAGGCCCCTGGACCTCCTGAGGCCTGCCCTGGCCTCACTAACACGTTTCCTTTCTGGCACTGCTGGCACTAACCTGACAAAACCCTCACTGGGGAAGGTCTCTCCCCCTACACCTGGAAGAGCAGACCCTTCTGGGTCTTCTGGGGTTGGCTGGAGGGTTGGGGCTGTCCCGAGAGTTTCCTTTTCCCCACCTGTTTGAGTGGGAGCAGCTGGTCCTTAATGTTCTCAAGATGGGACCCTCACCCCTTCTCTGAGACCCACAGGCCGGGGCGGCCTTCTCAGTCGAGGGCTCTTCTCCCGCCTCTGGGGGCATTGACCACACACAGCGTCTGCTGTGCTGTTGTTCTGCCCAGGATCATGCCGTGGGAAACCTGGTGCCACAGCAGTCCCTTCAGGGACTACCCCCAACCCCCCATTCCACATGGACTTAAACAGGCCTGGGAAGGAAGGGAGTGTGCGCTGGGCTCAGCTGGGGGATGGGGGATGGCCACCACCTCAGGGCTGGGCAGCGCTGGGGGGTGCATGTTGGCAGCCTCCTGCAGCCCACTGTCCCTCCAGGACCCGGCCCTGAAGCTGTGCCTTGTCCAAAGCATGTGCATGGTCAGCCAGGCCATCTGCAGCAGCACCCAAGCTGGTGCCTTCCACTTCTCAAGGAAGCCGGAACTGGTGGCACAGATGATGGTGAGCACTGGGCGGGCTGGTGGGTCCTTAGGCGGGTTCCTGGGAGAGTGGGTGGCATCACAAGCATTGACAGCAGGTGTGGAGGTGGGGTCTGGGGAAGAATGAAGGGCATGTGCATGGATACAGCCTGGGGGCAGCCCTGCTCCTCAGGGGCCTGACCACCCTTGGTTTGAGGGACAGAGGCTGACCAGGGAGGAAAGCCGGTGCTCCCTCCAAGACTGAGTCCTGTGGCTGCCTCACCCAGGAGTTCATCAGGGCCGAGCCCCCAGACTCCCTGAGGACGCCCATGAGGAAGAAAGCCATGCTCACCTGCACTTACCTGGTGTATCCTTTCTGGCCCATGCGTGGGCCTGCGTGTGTGCACGTGTGTGCTGCAGCCATGGGCCTGGGGCGAGGTGAGTGCAGTGGCAGCTGCAGCGGTCACCGCCCAGGCCCTTAACGTGCTGCTCAGCTCCCTGGAGCCAGTGCTGGAGGAGCAGGTCCAGGCAGACATGGTCCAGGGCTGTCTGCACAGCATCATGGCCCTGCCGCCTGAAGACGGAGACGAGGGCTGCCAGGAGGTATCACTGTGTGGCCCTTGCCATATACCATGTCCGTGGGGACAGTGGGAAGGCCGTTGAGGGCCGTGGGGTCACCCTGGGGTCATTGTGGGACTGAGTGGCTGGCTCTCCTTCCAGGCCCTATATCTTGACACAATGCGTGCCCTTGAAGATTTGCTCAGGAGCCTCCTGCAGCGCAGCATGACGCCCCAGAGCCTGCAGATCATGGTTGAGGTATGCGGTGGATATGCACTGCTGTGGGGGGCGCCCCGTCTGGTGGCTGGCCCCTCACCTGGTTTTCCTGCCCTCTCTCCCTGTGGGGGCACCGCAGGCGCAGTTTGGTTCTCTCTGCAATTTGGGGGGATCTGCAAGCATATGAGCAGCACCCTGTCCTGCTGGGCAGGCGCGCAGATGCGGGAGGTCGTGACCCAGTGCCGCCTCCGCAGCCTGTTCTCCCCTCCCCCCGTCGCCTGATGTGGGGCTGAAACACCCCAAAGGACCCCTGTGATTCCCAGACTTGAGCTCCATGGAGATGGGGAGGGGAGGTGTGCCAGGCTGAGGCTGCTTTCCCACTCTTTTCAGCATGGCTGTGGGCGTGGGTAGGACCCACCCTTGTTCTTAGGAACGTGTCCTTCTCGGGCCAGGGCAGGATCCACCCTGTGCCTCCAGAGGCCCAGCCTACTCTGGGTCCACCTGGGCTGGGCCAGAGTGAGAGGGCAGAGGTGAGCTGCAGCAGGCCGTGAGGTCGAAGCCATGCTGGGCAGCCCTGCCTAGCTCCCTGCGACACACAAGCGCCTGCTCTCCCGGGTTGCCCCGTGAGCTGGCACCTGTGTGAAGCCCCGTCTTCCCCAGCACCTGAGCCCGTGGATCAAGTCTCCGAGGGGCCACGAGCGGGCACGGGCTCTTGGCCTTAGCGCCTGCCTGCTGCGCTTCTTCCTGGAGCACCTGCATGTCAGCGTGAGTGTGGGCCCCACCCCTGTGGCTGAGGGACAGCTGTGGGTGGCCGTCACGTCCAGAGTGCCCCTGGCTCCCTGGCCTTCCTCTGGCGGCCTCTCCAGCTCCTCCCGCAGTCCTCCTAACTGAGACACAGACTGAGGCCCTTTCAGGGCCAGGAGGTGTCCCTAGGCTGGCCACCCGGAGTTGAATCAGAGGGCTCCCTGTCCTCAGGGCCCACCCATTGGCCAGGACTAACCTGCGCCTCGGCCTTCAGCATTGCTTGGCAGTATTTATTCTTTATCATGTTCTAGAAGCGTCCGTCTACTTGTTTTAATGAGAAATTTTATCAGGAACAGATGCTGGATGTTGTCAGGTCTTTTCGTCATCTGTCAAGATTATTGTAGGCTTTTTCTCGGTGGTTTCTTTTTCTTTTTTTTAATGTACCCAAACTTTCATTCTTTATGTGGCTAATGCTGGTGTGTTTCTTACGGCTTACGCCTTCTGTGCGCACGTGAACGGTGTCCTGCCTGCCTGCTTCCGTGGTCTGTTCCCACTAACCCTGGTCAGGCTGCACTTTGTCCCCATGCTGGTGTGGCGGACACTAACCTTAGTTGGCACAGCCCGTCACTGTGATCTGTTATCCTGCATTCCAGCCTTTCCCTCCTGACTTGAAATTCTTCTTTCTCATCAGTGGTGACTTTGGGGATGAGTTTTGGTAACAAGAAGGTAGATGCCAGGTTTCTGTCTGAGAAGATCAGCAGGGTCCAGGAGCCTGCGCAAGGGTGGGGCATAGGTGGCTCCCAGCAAGGCCTCAAGTGTGGGGCTGAGAGGGCAGGTGGAGGTCAGAGGACGGGCGTGTGTTTGGGGAGGTGGGTGACCGATGTCACAAGCCCTGGGAGTAGGCAGCAAGGCCGTGTGCTAAGAGGAGGTGGGGAAGGGTTGGTGTTTGAGCAGCGCAGAAGAGGCTCTGAAGGATGGGAGCAGGACCTAGGTAGGGTGAAGGGGGACCTCGTGCAGCCCTTCCCCTCTGACGGGGTTTGTCCTATAGCGGGAGGGGACCTCCCATGTCCTGCTCCCTCTGCTGCTGGTTTGGAGCCCCGCTCCTCGTCCCCTGGCATCCCTCTGCCTGCACACACCTCCCTGCCAGCCTGCCACAGCTTGGTCCTCCCCTTTTAGGGACCCAAGTAGACTAGGTGTGGCCAGAGCTGAGCCCATACTGGACAGGGGGATGGGAAAGAAGGAGCTGTCGGGCCGTACCAGGCCAGAGGGAAGGCTCAGGACTGCGTGGACACAGCTGCCCTCCTGCTCACACGCCTGCCTTCCTCTGAGTCTGGGTGGTGTGAGGGGCACCTGCCCATCCCCACCCCCATGCTGGCTGTCTCCCCTCCAGGCCCTGGTGCCCTTCCACAACCTGGGCCTCCTCGTCGGCCTTTTTGCTCCCCGGTGTGCGGACCTGTGGCCTGCCACCCGCCAGGAGGCCGTGGGCTGCGTCCACTCCCTGCTCTACCTCCAGCTGGGCTACGAGGGTGAGCCCCTGCTGAGGGCATGGGGGCCATGGTGGGGCAGAGGCGCTGGCAGGGATGAGGTGCGGGGTCTTGGCTGCAAGACCTCCAGGGAGGGCTTAGCCTGACTCCTTGTTCCTCCTGCCACTCAGGCTTCTCCCGAGACTACCACGATGACATGGCCGAGCAGCTCCTCACCCTCAAAGATGGCCTCAAGCACCCTGACCCATCCATCCTCTTCCACGCCTGCCATAGCATAGCCCAGGTACCTTCCAGAACATCTATGGCAGGAAGGAGGGACTGGCACTGGCTGGGGCTAGGACAGACTTTGGAGGCAGCACCTGGTATCTTGTAGGCTCTGCAGGTGCCACCCAGCAATGGGCACAAGTCTGGGTGCAGGTCTCCTGGCACCTTCTCTGAATGGCACTGCCCTGTCACCTGCACCTGTCTGTGTGGAACAGCACAGTCCACGCAAGGGACAGGTCCTCTGTGTGGCGAGGCCTTGGTGGAGGCCGAGGAGGGAGTAGGGTGATGAGGCCCAGGTAGCCTGCTGCCGTGCGCCCGCTGCCTGCACCCCCAGGCTGCTCACTGGAGAGGCAGCTTTCTGACCAGGATCTCGGGGGACCGCTCTGTGCCGGTGATTGTATGTGTAGACTTCCCTGAGCTGTCCGTGACCTGAGAGCCACGTGAGGGCTTGCGGGCATCGCCTGCAGGGCACTACAGGCTCTGGCCCACCCATGGAAGGGCCAGAGGTGGGCCCTGCCCCTTCCTGCCCCAGGCCTGCCTGGTGCCCACGCTCAGAGGCCCAGCAGGGCTCCAAGGAGTTGCAAATACTGCCTCTCTCCCAGTACTCTCCAGCGCGGTGCTGGTGCTGCTGTTCTGTGTGGTGTCTGTCTGGTGCCTGGGGTCCTGATGCTTTGTGTCTGGCAGAGGAAGAGGAAGGGAAGGGGTCACCAGGGCACTTTCTGGGGTGGGGTCTTAGATGTTGTAAAGCACAGAGTCAGCCCTGGGCCAGTAGAGGAGAAGCAGGGGCCTCGTGGTCTTGGTTTCAGCGTCTGTGCTTCTTTGCATGTGGTTGGTGTCTTCCCTTCACCGTCATGCTGCTTTATGTGACCTGACTTGTGGCCAGTTTCTGTTACACTGAAGGGAGAGAGAAAGTGGCTTGGTGCTTGCTGAACCGGTGGGGGAGTGGAGGCCCTTCCGTGCCTCAGTGGCTGGCACAGGCTACCCACCTGCCCTTGACTCCCTGTGTTCTAAAGAATTCCAGAACAGCTGCATTGACTGGGTCACTCCCAGCCTGCCACTCTAGGAGGGTGCTGCGACCCCAGCCCCGTAGCTGGCCAGGGCCACCTTCTAGAAGCCTGGCAGTACTCTGTCAATGAGCCCCCCCAACCCCTGCCCCAGCAGGGCGGGGAGGCAGGAGAAGGGAAGCACCCCACTTCAAGCTCAAGATCCTGAGATTTTGCACCTGGAAGGAGTGGCATTTGGGGTGCTGACATCCACCTTCTTTGATCTTCTGGCACCACTGTTCTAGATCATCGCTAAGCGCCTCCCACCAGACCAACTCATCAGCCTCTTACTAACCATGTTCGAAGGCCTGGGGGACCCTGATGAGAACTGCTCCCGAGCTGCCACTGTCATGATCAACTGTCTGCTGAAGGAGCGGGGCGGCGTGCTCCTGGAGAAGGTGAGGGGTAGGGCTGCAGGCAGCAGGTGTTCCCAGAGGAGGTGAGGGGCAGGGGTGGGTCAGGGCTTGGAGAGGCTGGCAGGGGACCTCTGCAGGAATCCCCTGAGGGGCTCTCCTGTGGTTAGACTATTCCTGTTCTTACTCCTTTTTTTGCAGGCCTGATGTGCACAAATCTTTCTTTCATGTCTGAAGACAGACTAGAATTAGGTAGAAACTATCCTAGGAGATTAAAGGGGGAAAAAACCAAAAGGAATCCACGCACCATTGAGCAGGCAGTGAGCTGGCACTAGCTGAGCTCCCTGCTGGCTTTACTGGTGAGGATGCAGGTGCACAGGGTCACCCAGGTCCACCCAGCAGACTGCCCTGGTGTGGGACTCCAGGGTCCCTCACCAGGTTGGACACCCATAGAGGTGGTCCCTGGACGCCCTGGCACCATTCGAGTTGGCTTGCCTGTTCACCTGTGTCTGGGGAGGGTCTCAGCTCCATCCGTCTATGAGTTGTGTTCAAATGTGCACTGGCAGCAGCTCTGCAACAGATGTGTGGTACAGGGGCCGGAATGCACGTCCCTGCGCTCAGGTCCTTCCAGGTCTGGTAGGCTCCGATGAGCCAGGCAGCTGCTCATGAATCCTGGAGAGGCAGACGCCGGGGTTGTCCCTGTTTGCCTGGAGGAATTTTTAAGCTCTGTGTCGGAGTACATGGGAGACCACAGAGCCATCCACAAGCAGAGCGTCCCGCCCAGCTCCCAGTCTCCTCATCCCCTCCCACCCCCCAGACACTCTAGGGACTGTCGCCACCTCCTCTCAGCACAGACAAGCATGACCAGGTTTGTATAAGATACGGACGGAGGCTTGTGCCCTTACGTCTGGTCTCTCGGTGCTGATGTGAGCTTACCCACTGTGCTGGCCCCGGCTCACTCTTGAGTTGTGAATATGTCACCTTCGGTTCACACATCCGCCCTGTGAGCGCTCAGTTCCTGGTCTGGGCTGTCACGGACCGCTGCCAGTGTCTGGGTCCTGTGACCTGAGGGTTTGTTTTAGTTGGGGACACACCCAGGAGAGCAGCTGGGGCTTGAAGGATGGTCCTTCGTGCATCTCTCCCGGGGCTGCCAGATGTCGCCTTGGGCAGGGGCCAGTTGTCCTCCCAGCAGCGTGTGAGGCTCAGCAGGGCCTGGTTTTGCCAACAGCTGTGTGTGTCGTCCTTTTCTAGTGGGTGTGTGATGGCTCGTGTTAGAGGTTAATTTACCTTTCTCTGGAGACTTTTAAAGCTGAACATTTTTTCATGTATTTACTGGCTACTTGGACGTCCCCTTCTGTGAGGACACCAGTCTCTTGCCCATTTTTCTTTTGGGTTGTCTGTGCTATTTTTATTGGTTTGTAAGGGTGCTTCATGTATTCTAGATACAATTCCTCTATGGAATACATAGCAAGTATCTTCTCAGGGAGGAATGAGCAGGAATTTGCCAATGAGGAAGAGAGAAGTGTGTCTGGCAGAAGGGCCCTTGTGCCACGGGAGCTGCGTGTGGTGTGGCTCCTGCAGAGAGACAGTATCTGAGTGCCATCGCAGCAGAGGCTGAGGGTGTGGAGGAGTTTGCATTCAGGACCCAGGAGGTGCAGGGAGGCAAGAGAATAGAGGCAGACATGGCCGTGGCAGTTGGGGTTTGCCAGGCAGAGGTTTGGATCTTATTTTGCAGGCAGTGGGGCTCCCCAGGTCAGATCCAAGGGTAAAAAGGTCCTCTGGCATTTCTGTGCAGATGGAAGGGAAGGACCAGCTGGAGGTGGCGGCCACCAGGTGTTGCGGTTGGCCCCAGTGTATGGACGGACCATGTCAAGGACCAGCTGGAGGTGGCGGCCACCAGGTGTTGCGGTTGGCCCCAGTGTATGGACGGACCGTGTCTTGTGTACCTGTTCATCCGCCAGTGCACACTTGGGTTGCAGCGTCCACCTCTGGCTGTTGTGAATCATGCTGCTGTCCACGCGAGGGTGCAGATGTCTCAAGTCCCTGCTTTCCGTTCTTTCGGTTACATGCCGAGAAGTGGGATTGCTGGATCACATGTTGGGTCCTTGTTCAGTTTTCTAGGAGCCTCCGTACTGTTTTCAAACACGCCGTGCTGTTTATGTTCCTACCAGCAACAGACGAAGCAATTTCTCCACCTTCTCAGCAACGCTCATTATTTTGTGTGTTGGTTTTTTTCACAGTGGCTGTATTAGTCTGTTTCTGTTGCTTATAACAAAGCATTATTACCTGGAACTGGGTAACTTGAAAAGAAACAATATTTATTGTTTATTATTCCAGAGGCTGGGAAGTCCAAAGTCCAGGGAACGCATCTGGTGAGGGCCTTGTTGGGGGGTAGGGACTCTTCACAGCACAGCAGGGTGTCACATGGTGGACAGTGAAGCAGAGAGAGCTCCTGTGCGCTCTCCTTTTGAAGCCCTGCAAACCATTCCCATGCCCACCGTAACCTGTCAGCTTATTACTCAGTGAACAGAGCAATCCTTTCACCAGGGCGTGGTCCTCACAGTCCAGTCACCTCTTTGAGGCCCCACCTGTCAATTATCATGACAGGATTTCCCACCCTGCTGACAGTCACAGTGGGGATCACACTTCTAACACACAAATCTTGGGGGACACAGTCTGATCCTCCTTGTCCTGTTGGTGTGAAGTGATATGTCTTTGTGGTTTCAGTTTGCATTTCTCAGACGACGCATTGTGGAGCATCTGTTCCTGTGTTTTTTGGCCATTCGTTTATCCTCTGTGGAGAAATGTCAAGTGCTTTGCCCCTGTTTTAATCAGGTTGTTGATAATTTTATCTGAGTTGCAGGTGTCTCTCATGTGTCCTGGACAGCAGCCTCTGGTCAGACGCATGATGTGCATGTGCGTCCTCCATTCCACAGGTTGCCCCTTCACTCTGTTGCTTTGTCTTTTGATGCACAAAAGTTTAAGTTTTTTTTTTTCCTTTTTGTCTTTTTTCGTGACCGGTAACAGGATCGCAACCCTCAGTGTCACGCCCGTACTGCAACCGGCAATGGGATCACAACCCTCGGTGTCGCGCCCACACCACGCTCAACCAGTGAGCGGACCGGTCTGTATATGGGATCCGAGCCCTTGGCGGGAGCGCTGCTGCACTCCCAAGCGCCACACTCTACCGAGTGCGCCACCAGGCCGGCCCCAAAAGTTTAAGTTTGACATAGTCCTATTCGTCTGTTTTTCTTGTGTTGCCTGTGCCTTTGGTGTCATGTCTGAGAAATCATTTCCAGATCCACTGTCACGAAGCTTTGCCGTGTGTTTTCTTCTAGGAGTTTTGTAGTTTTAAGTCCCCTCTGTTCTTGATAAAGCCAGGTGCCTCTCTGCAGGCCTGACATGCTGAGCTGGTCGCTGGTTCCTGGGCTGCTGGAGCTGCCAAGCTGTCGCCTCCCTGGCTCAGGCTGGCATCCACAACGCTCACCGTAGCCCAGCCAGGATAAGCGATGCCGACCCCCATTCTTTGACTTGGCCCAGGTCTGCAGCACAGCACCTCAGCCACACCTGTCACTTGATACACGAGCATTGTGTACCCACTGGGGTGGTGGTGAAGCTACATTTTCTCCCCTGCTCTGAGAGAGGCTGGCAGGGGGAGCTCTTGAAGACAAGCCCCTGCTGTTGGACTTTGAGCTTCTCTGACTTTGAATCAGAAAATTTGGTCTCAGGGCCGGCCCGTGGCTCACTTGGGAGAGCGTGGTGCTGACAACACCAAGTCAAGGGTTAAGATCCCCTTACCAGTCAGCTTTAAAAAAAAGAAAGAAAGAAAATGTGGTCCCAGCAGGTGGCACATGAGTCCCCACCATGAGATGATCATAAAACCATACACAGAGGGCAAGACAGGAAAATAAAGGACGGGTTCCTAACGCCAGTCACTTGGGCTGGTGGAAGGGTCTTCTGTGGGTTGAGGGGATGTGCAGGGGGAGCCAAGGAAATAACAGGAAAGAAGAGACTCCATTTAAAACAAACAGGTGGGAGTGGGGATGGAGCTGCCACTGTGGGGAGCTAGCCATGGAGTCACAGCACGACCCACAGTTCTGCTCCCCAGGTGTGTGCCCATAAGAACTAGAAACGTTCACACAAAAACCTGCACATAACTATTCACAGCAGCACTACTCATAATACCCAGGAAGCGGGAATGGAGTCACAGCACGACCCACAGTTCTGCTCCCCAGGTGTGTGCCCATAAGAACTAGAAACATGTTCACACAAAAACCTGCACATAACTATTCACAGCAGCACTACTCATAGTACCCAGGAAGCGGGGTGAGCACGCACGACCATCAGTTTGTGAGTGAATGAAGAAAACGTGGTCCACTCGCACAGCAGATCATCGTCTGGCCATAGGAAGGACTGAAGCACTGACGCGCTGCGGCACGGTGAACCTTGACCACGCCGCGCTCAGTGACAGCAGCTGGACACAGAGCACGTGCCGTGTGATTCCATTTATATGAAATGTTCAAAACAGGCAAACCCATAGAGACAAAGTAGATCAGAGGTTGCCAGGGGCTGGGGGGAGGGTGTGGGGAGCGGCTGCTGATGAGTTCAGGGTTTCTTTCTGGGCTATGGAAATGTCCTAAAATTGACCGTGGGGATGGCTGCACCCCTCTGTGAATGTACAAAACCACTGAGCTGTGCACTTAGAGCGGGTCACCTGGGTGGTGTCTCAACGACGTCTCAGCAAAGCTCTTGTGAACAGATGACCCAGACCAAGGGTGACAGAAAGAAAAGGACCCTTCACAGAGCTCACCATGAAGGTGAGGAGCCACAGCCCAAAGACACGGGGCTGGTGTAGGCTGAGCCTGGCACGGTGGGCGGCTGGAGTGCAGACCGCGTCCTGGGACGGGGTGGACCCTGCCCACCAGTGTGGGAATGATGCTCAGGAATCCTAAGCGAAGAGATGAATCTGGAAACCAGCCCTCCGCCCCAGCGTGGATTCGAGCGCTCACACACACCGTAGTCTCTAGCTATTGAAAAAATACAGGTGCAGAAGTGAAGGAAATGTTAGAAAAGATCAATAGCCCACTGAAACAGAAAGATAAATCTCTGATAAGACAAGCGGTGGGAACAGAGCCAACATTCTAAAAAGCAAAAGGCAAAGAGGAGGAGACACGTGAGAGATCTGAGCGTGGCGGACAGTCAGGCCATGTGCCGAGGCTCTCGGAGTCCATCGCCAAATCAGTAGGTTTCTGGAAAAAATAAAATGCCAACCTGAATGTGCAGGAGATGGGACAGTCCTGTGGACCCCGAGGCCTCAGGTGACGGAAGCAGTCACTGCTAGTGGTCCCCAGGCCTGCAGGTCTTCAGAGGGGCCATTGCTCCCCATGTAGAGAAGCCCTGGGGCCCCACAGTGCTCAGGAGAGCAGGAGGTCACCCAGGCCCTGTCAGCAGCGGCTCAGAGGACACCTACCATGCTCAGGTCAGCCCATGGACCCCAGACTCAGCCTTGCAGTGACCTGTCTGCCAAAGCTGCCACCACCCCACAGGGCTGAGGAGCCAGACCCGGTGCCAAGAAGTCAGCTTTGAGTTCAGTACCTGTTGACTGTCAGAACTTCCAGAAAGGCAGGAATACGGAGGAATCTCCCTGACAGGGCAACGGGCAGATTCCCTAGACCTGGGCAGCGTCTTGAGGGGACACGGGGGCAGGCGGAGGCCATGGGAAGGGGGCTGTGGCGTGGGCAAGCTGTGAGCCGCAGCCCTCTGCACCTGAGGTCTCCAGGTGTGTGTGCAGCTACTTTGAGGACAGCAGGGACAAGGGAAGGGTAGTCCTGTGCCCTTGCTGCCCACCATGCAAACACCGTGGCCTGGCTGGCTCCCCCCTTGCCTGGTGTCTCTTCCAGCTTCACCTGTGGCTGCTGTTTGGCCTTCCTTGTTTGTGGTAGCCACGTCCTCCAGGCCTTCCTAGCAGCCCAGGCCATCTGGTGGGTCCCTCAGCCATCGCCCTGGCCTGGGAGCCCAGGGGTCAGCAGTGCCTACAGCCTGCCACCTGCCACCCTGCGAGGTCGGTGTGACCTAAGGGGTCACTGTTTCGTCTGTTGTCACCCCAAACTGTAGTGTTTTCCGCCTGCACAGCCTCAGCAGAGAGGGTCACCATGGTTGGTGCTAGAGAGGAGACCCCTAGGCCAGCATGCCCCATGGGCACAGGGACTCACCATGATGTGGCTGTGCTGGGACAGCTGGAGGCTGGTCAGTGGGCTGCATAACCAGCCACTGGACTTGGTCGAGGCCTGAGGAGTCCCAGGGCCAGCGTCCCCCCTCCCCACCCTGGCCAGCGCTCTGTCACCTGCCCTTCGCAGCAGTGCACACTGCGGCTGAAGGCCAGCGTTGTCACGCAGACCCTTCTCCAAGCTCAGTTGCAGCCTCAGTCTGGGAATTGGTTTCCCTTCCTCTGTCCTCCCAGATCCCCAGCCTGACCCCAGTGGGGAGCAGTTGGCAACCCATGCGGGTCATGTCTCCAGTGGCCAGAGGCTGGGTCTCCCTGCCAGGGGGAGCCCAGGGTCATCAGGGGACGCTAAGAGTTGGTGTGAGTAGCTGTGTTGTGGGGTGCGAGGGCTCCAGCATCCGTCCACCACCCAGCAGGCACTGTCCCTGTCCTCATGGATTCCAGTCCTTGTTCTGATACTTCGGCTGCTTGTGGCCGTGGGGTTCAGTCCTGCCTTTTCTCCCCAAGGCTGGTGGCAGCAGTCAGGAGGGCTGGACCTCACCAACTTCCCTCCCCACAGCTGGGGCTAGCCAGCACCTGAGCACCTTCCATGTGGCCCGACTGCCATGTCCTGTCTGGTTGCAGGTGCCAGAGATCGTGAGTGTGCTGCGCTCCAAGCTGCAGGAGACCCGCAGGGAGCATGTCCTGCCGGCCGCCCAGCACAGCGTGTACCTCCTGGCGTCCAAGCACTGTGCGGCCGTTGTGTCCAGCCTCCTGGGCAGCCCCTTGCCCCTTGACAGGTACCGAGCACCACGGGCCTGCTGGGTGGACAGGGGACTCGGCCTCAGCCCCGCCCAGACGCCAGGCATGGGTCCTTCCTGCTAGTGTGACGCTTGCTCCCTGATCCCTGCGCCTGCCTCTGCACCCGGCCTTTCTTTGTGAGTCCCTGTGGCTCTGGGCCATGTGGGACACACAGTCACGTGGGCGTCACTTCCTGCCTCTTCTGTGGTCCTCAGGCTTGCCTGGCCGGCTCTCCGTTGCCCTGTGCTCCAGTAGATGCTGGAGGCTGCCCCTCGCTCTGGTCTGTGTCCCAGTTTCTCCAGGGCCTCTCCTCTGTAGGGCACCTACCCACACTGTAAGCAGACCCTCAGGGCCGTGCCCACTCTGCACACCCTCTGGGAGCCTGGGGTATGCCCGCTGGGGTCCCCTTGCCCTTCTTCCCATGAGCCTGCTATCCTGCCCGCCTTTGCTGTCCCAGGTGTATGTGGGGGCCCCCAGCCACCCGGGACCCAGAGACCTCCCCCCTCCCGGTTGCGCACGGCATATGTTTTTTTTTGTTGTTTTTTTTTAAGATGACTGGTAAGGGGATCTTAACCCTTGACTTGGTGTTGTCAGCACCACGCTCAGCCAGTGAGCTAACCGGCCATCCCTATATGGGATCCAAACCCGGGGCCTTGGTGTTATCAGCACCACACTCTCCCGAGTGAGCCACGGGCCGGCCCATGGCATATGTTTTTCGATGCTGTGATGCTGTGCCCAGGTGTGCACGGTTGGTGTCCTCTGCTCCTGGTGGAGGTGCCCTGCTTTGTGAGGTAGACTTCTCACCAGCGAGGCCCTGTGCACTAAGCTGCATTTGCCTGGCACCTCCTGTGACTGTCAACCTCTCTGTGGTTTTGTGTTCAGACGTGTTGCTTTTACATGGTAACTATGTGCACTTGGTGCTGATAGGGTGGGTTTAAATCCTCTCTTCTTTTCTGCCTTCTCTCTCTCACCTGTGCTGTTTTTTTTTTCAATCTTCTTGTCTTTTTTTAGAGGGACAGGGTCTCTCTGATTCCCTGTTTTCCGGTCAGTCGGTCTGGAAGTCCTGCTGTCTCTTTTCTGTCAGTGGTTGCCTGAGCAGATGAGGCCAGCTCCTTCCAGACGGCATGGCCTGCTGGGGCCTCCCGACCTGTGCACAGCCCCGTCTGCCCACGTTGTCATTATCGTGACTGTCTTGTGTATCTAGTCAGTCTTTAGCTGTATTTCTGCACATTTGCCGCTGCTTGCTCTTGGCTCGTTCCTCATTTCGTGTTCTGTGGCAGTGTGCGCTGCATGGACGTCCTGAGCACAGGCCTCGGCTGCCACCTCGTCGGTACCTGCACGCCCTAGGTTGAAACCCCAAGAGGCCACCAATCTGATGGTGTCACTAGACAAGGGCTTTGCCTGATCTTGAACTTTGTGTAAATGGGTCGTGCGGAGCTTTCTCCTGGCTCTGCTCACCTGCCTTGCCAACGTGCACCATGCCGCAGCTCCTCCTTTCTGTTTCTGTGCACTCTGCACCACGTGCTGACGCCTTGCCAGGCGATGGGCATTCAGGTGTTTTCAGTCTGGGGCTGTTGGGAATAACCATGCTTTGTGCATTCTTGTCTGTTTCCCTTGGTGGGTACAGCGTCCATTTATGTCTCTCTCATCTGGACAGAGCAGAACTGCTGTGGGTCAAGGGTCAGCAAGCTACAGCCCTGGGCCAGCTCTGGCCTGTGCTGGTTCACGCACACCCTGTGAGCTTAGAACAGCTCTTACATTTATAAATGGTTGGGAAAAGATCAAAAGAATAGCATTTCCTAGTGCGTGAAAATGAGGTGAAATTCACATTTCCGCGGCTGTAAGTGAAACCTCCTTGAGACAGCCACGCCCACCCCTCCAGGCAGTCTGCGGCTGCTTCTCTCACTGCAGGGCAGACGTTGCTGGTTGCCACAGCAGCCCCGTGGCCTGCAAAGCCTCGGCTGTCTGCTCGCGGGCCCTCTTGGAGGAGGTGTGCTGGCCGGCACTGCACGCAGGGAGGCTCAGCTCGCAGTGTGGCCAGACCGTGTCCGGGGCGGCCGAGCCTGCGCCTCCCCACATGCAGGGCCCCAGCCGTCCTGGCAGGTGTGTGCGTGGCCCACGTTCGCCACCAGCCTCACGTGCCTTGTTCCCGCGCCTCAGGCCTCTGTCCCCTCCTACCTGAAGCTCCTTCCAGAATCTCCTTGGTGACTGTCGGTCGGTGATAAACTCTTCATTTTTGTTTATCTGAAAATGTCTTTATTTGGCGATCCTTCTTGAATATTTTCCTCTCAAATATTATGTCTGCAGAGTTTAAGCTTGTAGTTTGGCAAGCACTTTCTTTAGTGCGTGTGAGAGGACACGTCTCTGTTTTCTGGCATCCGTCATTAGTCACTCTTGAGAAGTCAGGGCCAGTGTGACCGGTGCTGCCTTTGTGAAGGGAGCCACCCCTTCTCCGTGGTGGCCGCTGTGCAGCTCGCAGGTGGGTGTCTTGTTCTCTAGGCCACTAGTAGCTGCTGGGCTCCCGAGGCTGTAGGTCAGTGTCCTAGTTGAAGCCATCAGCTGTCAGACTTCTCAGCCTTTCCTTTTCAGCCACCACTCTCCTTCCTCTGCGTCGGGGACAGCCATGCCTGTGTCCGCCCTTCTCGTTTCGTCCTCCACCGCTCTTACTCTGTCTGAATTCCACCTTGTTCTTTCTGTGTGCTGGTCCTGGGTGCTTCCCTCGATTTATCTTCCGGTTCACTCTCTGTCTCTTCCACTGTGTCCAGGCTGGCCCCTCAGGTGCGTACTGAGTGCATTACTTGTCATTTCTAAATGGGTTAGTTGGTTCTCTTTTACTTATTTTTATTTACTTTTGGTGCTGGCTGGTACAGGGATCGAACCCTGCGCTTTGGTCGTGTTATTTGGTTCTCTTAAACGTTTGCCGTAGAAGTTCGCCGTTACTTCTGTAAACTCATGAGCATAGCCACTTCACAGCCTGGGGGGCACTGATTGGCCTGTGCTGGCTGCGACATCGAGGGACCTCACTTGTGCTACGTGATCTCCTGTGTGCTGGGTCCTCCTGACCATGTGCCCCAGTGGCCTCATATGTGCTCTGACAGCGCCCTGGGCACCACTCCTGCCACCCTTCCCTCAGGCCCTGTGTGTGTGGCCCAGATTTCTCCCCTGTCCTTTACTGCCAGCTGCTTACAGACCCCTGGGGTCACAGGAAGGGGTGAGTTCAGATCTGGGGTCAGGGCGCATTTCCATTCTGGCTGGAACGGATTCTGGCGGGCGTGTCTGAACGTTATGAGCCGGGGGCCGCAGCACCGAGGAGGCAGTGGGCAGGGACACGGGCCCCGGTGCCAGCATCTGTGGTGCTGTGGCCAGCACAGCCTTGAAGTGACCACCCCTCCCCTGCCTGCTCCAGCCACACCTGCACCCTGTGGCGAGCACTGGCCGTGCAGCCTGGCCTCGCCACCCAGGTCCTGGAGCTGCTCCTGGAGAAGATGACCAGAGACGTCCCATTCAAGGAGAGCCGAGCCTTCCTGCCGGGCAGCACTCCTGACCGGGTGGCCACACTGCTGCCCCTCGCCGTGAGTGTGGGCTTGGGTCACCCCCCCATGCTCTCCTTGCCCCCACCTGCCCGGTGCCAGGGTGAGGAACCCCCCACAAGGTGGCCTGGACAGCGCCCCCACAGGCACCCAGCAGCAACACGGGTGCCAGCGAGCTCAGCCCAGGCTCGTAAAGGCCTCCCAGGTGCTGGTCCCCTGGGGAGACCACGTCACGTTTTATCCTGCAGACAAAAGTAAGCCCAGCTTGGCAATGTTTTAAGTGGTAAAGCAGCTGTGGGAATTTCCTCCTCCTCCCGCTGGGGAACCGAGAACAGATGGTCTGAGGCCGCCTGCCCCAGAGGGCCGACTGCGCAGGGCCCGCCCTGTCTGTCCTCCCTGGGGAACTGAGGCCTCCACTGCACACGGGGAGCATGCAAAGGGCACTTCAGCTTGTCTGGGTCCTGGGTGCAGGGCCCAGGTTTTGCTGAGGCCCAGAGGACAGTGTGACCTGTGACGACTCCTCCCCAGGCTACCTGTGCACTGCACGAGGTTGTGTCTGCTCCAGCGTCGGGGCCCGCAGTGCTCAAGCTCTACCCCCAGCTGTTTGCGGCGCTCCTGCTGCGTGTCAGCTGCACCGTGGGCGTCCAGCTGCCCCGGAACCTGCAGGCCAAGGAGAGGAGGAGCACCAGGAGCTTCGAGCCCTGCAGGTAACCGGGCGCTTACCTCCCGTTCCCAGTGCCAATTTGTGAGCACAGGCAGGTGTGTGCAGTGTGTGGCATGTGCCAGGCAAGGAGAGGACCTGTGGGGCCATTCGTCTGGACAGTGGGGACCCAGGCATGAGTCACCTCCTGCAGTACAGGGTGGTAGTCGTTGGTGACACATGTCCATGGACACACTTTCCATGCTGGGAGCGAAGGTCTCCTCGTGTGTGTGCGGCTGCTCTGGGCAGGCGAGGCGGGGATGGGGCGGCTGGGGCAGCCGCAGGTCTGCGCAGTGCTGGCCGCGGGCACTGGCAGGCTCTGTGGGGTGCCCAGGTGGAACCAGGGTGGCGCCTTCTCCCAGAAGGTGGCACTGTGGGGTCTTTGGGGGTGCAGCTGGACTGACCACAGAATGGCTGGCTTCAACCCTGAGACTGTCCCAGGGACAGAGCAGCCTGGCATGTCCTTATAGCCAGTGCAGCCACAGTCACAGTTGCAGCCGCAGAGGCGCTCTGGGCCTCCCTACCCCTTCCCCCTTGACTATCATTGGGATCTGGGGTTTTGTGGTTTCTGCTAAGTTAGCCCTGGGTTCTAGAGCAGGAGAAGGGAACAGAGGAGCTGCTTACTGAGGTCAGTGGGTGTAGAAGCTGGGCTGGGCTGTCCTGAATCTCAGCAGCCTGGGTGTCTGTCTCCTGCCTTCCAATCTTAGTCTCGGGGACCATTCCTAGGCTGGCATGGTGGCACCAAAGGGTTCCATACAGCCACCTGGGGCCACAGCACAAGCAGAGAAAGCTGTCTCCCTAGCAGGCCTGACAGTACCACCTGCCCCCGGGGACAGTGAGCCCATGGCTACCAGGCCCCGCATCCCTGCCCACTCTGCCTCTGCACTGTCCAGTCCTCTAGGTACAGATGTGCAGCATAACCAGGGACACATGGGGGACAGCCTCCGTTAACCCCCCGCCCCCACCCCCACCCTCAGGCTGCTGAGCCTCAGGGCCGGCTTGTAAACTTGCTAGCAGAGGCTGAGAGCCCGGGCCTGCCCAGCTCCTCGCAGACCAAGTGGAAAACGAGGCACTCCCCCCAACCTCCACCCGTGGAGGCCCTGGACTGCCCTGGGCTGGGACATTTGCAGAGCCTGGCGCATAGACCATGAACCAGCGAGTGGGCCCTTGCTACCTGACGCCACGTCCTTTAACATTCTGGGCAGCAGGCAAGGGACGTGCCCTCGTCCGAATTGACCAGACATGCACTTCCTTCAGGCTTGTTGTAGCCAAGTGGAGCCCTGGGTCCAGATGGCGCCTTGAGGCCAGAGCAGGGTGTGGAGCTGGCAGGCGGAGCTGAGCTCTAGCAGGCCCTGCCTGGGCCATACAGTCCAGCCGGAACCAGCAGTGGCCCTGCAGTCCTTGGTCCAGCCCCTGCCCGGCCCTCCACATGCTGAGGGCATCCTCTGCCTAGAGACCACAGGGGCTGGTGTGGTACTCTGTGCCTGTGGTCAGTACAGGCTGCCCTGTGTCCAGGGACAGGAACCCCCTTGTATCCATGCCACCTGAGCTCAAAGCCCTGGCCCTCCGCTGGAATCAGGAGCTCCTGGAACACTGAGAGCTGCCTTCTAGCATTTCCTCCCTGGGGATGGAGCTCCAGAGAGGGCGGGGCCTGTGGACACTCATTGAGAGCTGCACTAGGAGCTGGCCCAGCTACTGTCCAATAGCAGCATGCCAGGTGACATCTGTGGGGATGCAGCCAGGCTGGGGGAGCACCTAGCATCTGTCTTGGGCTGCCAAGACCCCAGCCCTCACCTCCCGCAGTCCCTCGTCCAGCTCTCAGGTCCTGTTCCTGAGAGGTCAGCTCTGGGCCCAGTACAAGGCTGGCCCCTCCTGCATCCCCGGTCTTCTGTGCCCGACTGTTCGGAAGTCCCCAGGTCCCAAATATGCCTGTCATGTACCCCTGTGCCCACCAAGTCCCCTTCACTCACCCTACCCGCATGAGCATTGCACACACTGTGTGGCCAGCAAGGCCTGTCCCCAGGGTTGCCCCCGACTCCTGGGCCTGGCGTGCGCTGACCCTCTAGCCCCTGCTATGCCTGAGTCCCTGGGCTTGCCACTTCCTCAGCCCCTAGCACATTGCAGCCAAGCAGCACAGCTGCCACCACGTGTCCACAGAGACTGTTGTGGGAAGAGGGCTTGTTGACCTGATGCCTGGCCAGTGGGGACTGGCCCAGTGGACATGCGTCACCATGGCCAGTATCACTTCACAAAGGCTCAGTGCACTGCCCCAGGGGTGTCCACCTTGGGGCCAGGAGCTCCTGGGACAGTGCTTCACGGACACACGTCCACAGGCCAGCGTGGGGCCTGATGCTGGGGAGGGCAGCATGGCAGGGCTGAGAACTGTGATGCAAGGCTCTTGCCAGGATGCCATCGCTGGTGCCCGTTCAGGGACAGATCCCTGAGTGTGTTGCCTGAGGCCACGACGGGCTTATCTGAGGAGAGGGGCAGACCTGCCTTCCAGCCAGGCCCTGGGGAGGCTGCAGAGCCAGGCTCATTTCCTGTCACTGCCTCAGCCTTGGGCTGCCGCCTGCCAGGGGGACCAGAGGGCAAGGGAGTCACCTGGTGCAGCCTTGGGGAGTCTGGAGAAGAGGGAGCCAGCTGAAGCAGACGTGGCAGGGTACAGCTGCCCACCCTGCAGCCTCCACAATGCTCCCAGGCCACCTGCTGTCCAGCGATGGCCAACTGGACACCTCCACACGGCTGCCATGGCTTACCTGCCTGGCAGCCTTGTGCAACAGGGAGTGGGACAGGAGTCTGGCTGCTGCCCCTGCCTGTCTCCCAGGGGTGGCCATGGCTATACAGAAGTGAGAGCCCAGGCTTCTGAAGGCAGGTGCAGGCCCAGCTGTGGGGGCTGTGGAGGTGGCCCCTGGGGTCTGGGCCCTGTGCATGGCAGGCAAGGCTGCTCAGGAGGAGCATCAGGAGGCCAGACATGTTCTTGCTGTGGCTGTAGCCCCAGGGGCCCAGGAAGGCCCCGTGTCCCTCAGAGCTGGTGGCTGGTGGGGCCTGGCAAGCTCACCTCCAGGCCAGCAGCTGGGTCTCTATCCTGGGCCCCTCATGGGTCCCAAGGGCCATCTGAGGGCCTCCCAGCAGGTGGCCTGGAGCCTGCTCCCTGATGGACGGCTCGAGCAGGGCTGGGCAGCGTGGGGTACGTTGCCTGTGTGTGTCTGCATCTGGGGCACAGACCTGCAAGCGGCTTCCTGGGTCCTTCCGCCCAGGTGGGAGGAGGTGCAACAGCATGGGTGCCCCACCTTGGGCAGGTAGGCCCTTGCCAGCTGAGTCTGTCCCATTCCATTCTATCCCATCCCATCCCTCAGCGCTGCCGTAGAAACCCTGAAGGCCCTGCTGCTCCGAGGCGGCAGTGAGGACGTGGTGCAGCGCATGGAGCAGGAGGGAGGCTGGGAGCTGCTCAAGACCTCCGCAGAGCACGAGGAGGGGGTCATCCTACTGGCCAGGTGAGTAGGCCATCCATGCACAGCTCCAGCTGGGGCCATGTCCTATCCAGGGACTCTGGGGACTCCCAGAGGCACGTGGGAGGAGGCTGCACTGTCGGGCGTGTGGGACCCGAGTGAGAAGCTGCTGGAGCAGCAGCTTAGGCCCAGCTAGGTGAGCTAGGGGGAGCTGCGTCTTGAGGGCCTGGAAGGTGGGGTGGGGGTGGACTGGAGGAGCGGGTTGCCTTGGGTTCTGACCTTGTGTTCTGGGAGGCGACAGTGCCTCAGGGCTTAGGAAGTGCCTGGGCAGGGCTCTGTGGAGTATCCAGGGCAAGTAGCTGCAGCCTCTGCTCCCCCCGTGGCCCCTTCCCCAGTGCCATGGCCAAGTCTGCAGGCCCCCGGCTCCCCACAGTGGTGAAGGAACTCATGCGCATGCAGGCCAGTGTGTATGAGATCCAGAGGGTCACCTCCACTGCTTTCCTGGCTGAGGTAGGACCCCTGTGGGAAGAGGCTGGATGTGACGACGAGTAGGGTGGGGTCCTCAGTCCCCACTTGGTGACACACCGGCAGTGCCAGCGAGGGATGACTCGAGCTGGTTGCAGCAGGGCTAAGCCCTTGGATGGGGGTGGGCCAGCAGCCAGCCCCCCAAGGCTCACTTGATGGCAATTGCCTTGGTTCTCATGGCGGCGATGCAGAAAGCTGCCCAAGGCCATGGTGGTGGATGGCTCAGGGCGGTGGGCCCTCTGCCTACAGGCCACCGCAGAGGCTCCTCTTGTCTGCCACAGTGCCCTGTGCTCTGGGCCCGGGCTGGAAGGGGTGGGGCAGGCGCCTTGGGGTTAGCAGGGCAGGTGGTCTTAGTGCCTGTGCCTCCAGCTACTCAACAGCAACGTGGTCAATGACCTGATGCTCCTGGAGCTGCTGCTGGACAACCTGACAGCCCAGCAGAAGGACTCCTGCACTAGCGTACGGCGACTGGTGCTCCGCGGTCTGGCCAATGTCGCCTCTGGCTCCCCTGACGAGGTGGGCTGGTCCGGCCAGCCCCTCTGGGACCCCACCAGTGGGACAGCGTAGTCAGAGTGGAGGCCAAGGCAGATGGTGTGGGCAGTGGGGACAAGCACATGGGTGGCCCCGCCTGCAGCAACTTGGGGAAGGGGTGAACCTGTGGGGTGGGAGGCAGGGTGACTCTGGGACACAAGCTAACTGCAGCACTTGGGTCCCCAGGTACGAGCCCATGGCCCCCAGCTCCTGACAGTCTTGATCAGCGGGCTGGACGACGGGGATGCTCCACACAGCCCGGTGGCCCTGGAGGCCATGGCGGGCCTGGCACGGCTGCTGGACCTGGTGGAGCCCTGGGACCTGCGCTCGGTGCTGCTGCATGTTGCCATCCGCATCCGGCCCTTCTTTGACAGCGTAGGCTGGGGCTGGGCGGCAGGGCACCCAGAGGCTCCAACACTCTTCACCCTCGCCAGGATGCTGGCTGAAGGCCCCACCAGGCCTAGGGCAGACTCCTACTCTCCCCACCTTGCTCCTCCACCTGGTCCACTCTCCCCACAGTTGGCAGATGGGCCCTTTCTAGGGGCAGCTCCTCATGTGACCTTGGGCCTGCAGGACACACTGCTGTCCTGGGCCTGGCACCCCCCCCCCTTCAGCTTTTCTATCCCTACCACCAGGTGTCTGGCCCCTCCTGGCCTATGTCAGGCAGGGGCACCATCTGAGGCGAGGGGGTAAGGCGGGTGGCACAGGCACGTTTCACAACCCGTCCTCCAGGAGAAGATGGAGTTCCGGACAGCATCTGTGCGCCTCTTTGGGCACCTCAACAAGGCCTGTCACAGGGACTGTGAGGACGTCTTCCTAGAGCAGGTGGTGGGCGGGCTGGCGCCCCTGCTGCTGCACCTGCAGGACCCTCAGGCACCTGTGGCCAGCGTGAGTAGCAGTGGGGGGTGGGGTGGGTCACAGGGTGGCCCAGGGCCACAGGGTCTCAGCGGTTTGCCCTGCAGGCCTGTAGGTTTGCCCTGCGCATGTGCGGCCCCAATCTGGAGTGTGAGGAGCTGGCAGCCACCTTCCAGAAGCACCTGCAGGAGGGCAGGGGCCTGCACTTCGGAGAGTTCCTCAATGCCACCTGCAGGCACCTGGTGAGGCACGGAACAGGTAGGTGGGTCCCAGCCTGGCCTGGGCTGACCTGTGTGTCCCCACAGATGCACCACTTCCCTGAGCTGCTGGGCCGCCTGGTGAGCACCAACCTGTTCTACTTCAAGAGCAGCTGGGAAGACATCCGCATAGCCGCCGCCATGTTCACCGGTGAGGGCCGCCCCCGCCTGCCCGCATCCCCCTCCCCTGGCCCCACCTGACTCCCCACCATGCTGCAGGGTTCCTGCTGCTGCACGCTGAGTCTGCGCACAGGCCGCAGGTGGACCTGGAGCAGCTCCTTGCAGGTGAGCGCGGGCCCCACCCAGTCCATGCATGCCCTGCCCCTGGTTTGCTGGGCGCTCTGGGGCCCCACTGACCCTGGGGGCACCCGCGAGGACTAAGTGATTTTCCTGGATTCCAGGATTTTTTCCCCTGTCACTGGTGACCTCATCGTCTCTAGTAATTCACGGAAACTTCTTAACTGTTCCAAAAGAGCTTAAAAAACACTAAAAAAGGAAAAACTATCTTTCTTTTGGCTCTGGAGCCCTCCCAGCAGAGGCCTTTCTGTTAGGAAGGCTGTGGGCGGCCCCACGCACAGGCGCTTAGGTGTGCCTGAGAGGTCACAGCCCCCCCAGGCATGGCAGCGGGGAAGCGGCAGCACCCCACAGCCCCCCCAGCAACGAAGTTCCTGTCCCCCAGCGCTCCAGCTCCTGCTGAAGGATCCAGCCCCTGCGGTGCGGATGAAGGCTGCCGAGACTTTGGGCCGCCTGGCAAAATTTGCCTAAGGCTCCGACCAGTGACCCCCTACAAGCAATACCCACCCAGGTCTGAGCCTGCCCAGGGACAGGCTCTCCTGAGGACCCACGGCCTGGGATCAAACCACCGCCCTCCATGAGGAAGGTGCTGGAGGCCCGATGGGATGGGGGCGGATCACTGTGCCCCCACATATTCTCCAATAAAACTGCCTGCTCAGCGGGTGACAGGATGCAGTGGCTTGTCATTTCCTTCTGGGCCAGAAGGGTGCCCTGGCTGGGGGGCAGCCCATCAGGAACCCTAATTAAAGAAGGCAAAGAGCACAGGCAGCGGAAGAAAGGCCTCTATTGCACATGCCTCCCTGGAGTGGGAGCAGGGCAGGGCAGCCTAGGTGAAGAGGCGGATGCTGCCGTCCGCCCCTGAAGAGAAGACCCAGGGCTGCGTGGGGTGGAAGGTCACGTCCAGCACACCCAGGTCCCGGGTCAGCGTGTGTCCCTTCAACACCTTGACGGGTACCAGCAGTGGGTTCTGCAGCAGGTCACTGTGGGGAGAGGAGGGGCTCAGGATACTGTCGACGGAGTCCCCCTGGAGGGACCGAGAGAGAGAGCCAGCACTCACTTGTACACCATGCCGTGGCAGACAATGACACTGCCGTCATCAGAGCCAGATGCAAAGAGTGGATATCGGGGGTGGAAGGCCACAGCCCGCAGGGCCTTCTTGTGGTGCCTGGAAAAGCGCTGGGTTTACAGCAGGATCTGGGCTGCAGGGGGCCCTGCTGGCCACACCCACACCCCCACCTCACCTCAGCACTTTGTACGGCTTGGTGGAGAGGTCCAGGTCAAACCACACTAACTTGCTGTCATAGCTGCCACAGATGACATTGTCACCTAGGGGGCCAGAGACAGTGACAAGGATGTTCTCACCTCTCAGGGGGTGCATGTCCCCCCCACACCCTCCCCTACGGGGCACACTCCCCGCCCTCACCTGCAGGGTGCACGGCTAGGCTGGACACCCACTTGCAGTTTGGCATCAGCTTCTTGGTGAGCTCCTGGCGCAGGAGATGGTAAAGGCGGACACTGCGCTGGGAGGCCACAAGCAGGAAGGGCCTGGTGGGGTGGAAGGCCACACGCTGCACCTGTCCATGGCTGCGGCGGAAGGGGCTCTGACTGCGGCGTCGACTCAGCTGGTGGATCTGCACCTGGCTGTGACCCGGAGTGGCCAGCACTACGGCCAAGTAGTCCCCACGCCCATGCCAGGTCACCTGCATCACTGGCTGCAGGAAAGGAAGGCTGGCTGATTGAACCAGGCTACCCCCGGGTCTCCCCACATCCCCCACACGCACCTTGCTGTGGCAGATGCGCAGCCGCAGGCCCCCCTGGTGCTCTTCTTCCGAGGCCTCCAGCCAGCGGGCAGGCTGCAGAGTGGGCTCCTCCGGCAGGGTAAAGGCGCTCAGCATCTGGTCTGTGCTGCCCACCACCAGCCGGTCCCCCAGGGCTGGGTTCAGCAGCAGCACCGAGTCCTCCCTGTGGGCCAAGGCCAGACGCAGCCCCTCAGCACAGTGCCACCCCCACCCCAGCCCACCTCGACGCCCTTGCTTCCTAAGCCCACACTCACACAGCCGCAGCCACCAGGCAGAGGGTGGGGCTGGGGTTCCAGGCAATGCTCCGCACCACGCCCCCCACAGGCACAGTCTTCATGCAGCGGGCAGTGGCCACCTCCCAGAACCGCAGCGATCCATCGTCTGAGCCTGGATGCAGCAAGAAAGGCCCTCAAGCACCTGGCCCTCCCACCTGGCCCCCAGCTCAGGGTCACCCCCCACCTCGGGCCCACCTGAAGCCAGCCACTGGCCCCCTGGGGAGACACTGAGGCAGCGGATCAGGTCACTGTGGCCCTTGTAGACCTACAGAGGAGAACAGTGAGGAGACAGACCCCCAGGGGTGCATGCTCCCCCCCTCTGCCCCCAACTTACCAGGGCCTGGCATGTGGGGAAGGGCTGCAGGTCCCTTGGCCGGGGCAGTTTAGGGATTAGGTCTTCGGGGTCCACGTTCACCTGAGGCAGGAGAGTACCTAGTCACCCTTGCCCCCTGCCCTATGCCCCTCCCACCCCTGACTTGCCACCTCCCCCCCCCACATACCCTCATCTTGCGCTGCCGTGGGCACAGATACAGATCGAGACAGCGCTCAAAGCGCTCCTGGATGAAGCGGCTGTACGCAGGAACAGCACGCAGGCTCCGGAACTGCCGCGGCAGGAAGCTGAGTTTCCTCTCACCCGGCTCCTGCTGCTCCCACGCCAGGCGCTGTGGAGATGGGGGGTGAGTGGGGACCACAGGGGCTGGGGCCCAGACCCTGACCCCAGCATGGGCCCACCTCCTCCTTGCTGGGCAGGTACTCAGGAGGCGGGTTGTAGGACTCAGCATGGCCAGGCAAGGCCAACTTGGGAGCAGGCACGTGCAGCTTGTGGCGCCCTGGCACAGCACTGGGGTCCTCCTGGGCCCACAGGTCGTAGAAGCTGGGGGTGGGGTCTCGGGGCCGGCGGGGCTGGATCCAGCCCATCTTGATGGCGTGCACCATGCGAGAGACCTGCAGACAGCCCCGGGTCAGCACAGGCAGGCAGCTCTGTGCCCGTGCCCTGGCGGCGGGGTTGTTCCCACCTTCTCCTTCTCCACCAGGGATGGGATGAAGCTGCGCTTGGTGGCTGGGCGGTTGGTCACTGGGTGGATCATGACATCTCCACTGAAGAAGTCCACAGCTGGCTGGGGGGACAGGCACGGGTGTATGGGCCAAGCTGTGCCAGGGCCCCACCAGAGCCTTCAGACCACCAGGGTCAGCCAGTACTACCTACCTCATATGGGTCGAAGCCCACGTCCCCAAACTGGCCCCTCTGCAGCCGCCGCACCAGGGCCACCTGTTCATCAGTCAGCCGCAGATCACGCCCTGTCATTTGGTCCTGCACAGTGCGCCTAGGGGGCTGCCAGTCAGGCCAAGCTCTGCCCCCTCCTCTACCAGCCCCGCCCCTGACATCCCACCCCCATGGGATGCTCACCAGTAGTCGGGGTCATCCATCTTGTCCAGAAACTGGTCCAGCTCATCCCGGGTGCGCAGAGGCTTATAGATGCGCCTGCCATCCAGGTCATAGCCCACATGGGGGAAATCATCGTACCACTCCAGGGGCACGTTGCCCACCGTGTTCCGGATGTCCTACAGCCACAGCCACCACATCAGCACCTGACCCCTCTATGCCAATTCCTCCCTTCAAGCCACCCAGGAGGCACAGCTGCAGAGTGAAGGGACTCCAGCACCCTGCGTCAACCAACCCCAACACGTGCCCTTCCCCTGGCCCTGGGCTCTGACGTGGCATGGCAGCCCACACTGCCCCCCACCACGGAGGCGCCAGAGCTGCACCTTCACATTTTCCACTGAAGTGATGCCAACCCCGGAGCCTCCCCCATCGGATTCCTTGGCCAGGGCTCTGGGCAGCCACAGACAGGGATGACCTCATCACCCACGGGCTCCCTCCCCTGGCAGGGGCCTTCGGCGCAAGTGGTAAGCTACCAGGGAGGGGACCAGGGAAGACCCCATAAGACCCAGTTGAGGGGAGGCAGAAGCCACTAGACTCTGCCCTGCAAACAGCCAAGGACTCCCCCCGTCCCGGTCCTGTACCCCCAACACCCCCCACCCCGCCCTGGGCAGGAGGAGCAGCAGCATTCCTGGACACACATTCCTGGCTGCAGCCCCTGCCAGCCGCCACCACCACTCCTCCAGTGTGGGGACTGCTGCCCAGGCGCCGCTTCCTGCAACAGGAGCCACAGAGGGGGAGGGGCCCGGACAAGACTGAGCACAGCTGGGGCCCGAGGCTCCTCTGCAGCAGGACAGGACGCCCTGGGCTCTGCCCCGTGCACCTGCCCATTTCAGCCCCTTCTAGCAGGTCCAACCCCCTTGCCAGGCACTCCCCCCTGTGCCCCTGCCCACTGTTGAGAATGTCCTTCCCTCTCCTCTTTGTGGGCTAGAGGGCCCTCCAGCAACCCCTAAGTCTACATGGCCATCCTTACATTGGACGGACCCTAGCGGAGGTGGGGGGGGTGGCGAGTGTTGTGTGTGTCTGTTTCCTGAGGGGCCTGGTGGCCCCGGGAAGGAGCCAGGTCTCATCCATGTATGCCCAGTACCCAGGCACTCTTATCGCTGAGAAGGAGGCCCAGGGGGGCACACGGCAGGGGAATGGGGGCCGTTTTTCTACAGCCATTAGAAACGAGTGGAGAAAGCAAAGGAGAGGATTCCAGGCAGAGGGCACAGCTTGTACCAGACCTGGAGGAGGCAGGTGCAGGACAGGCTGTGCCACCCCACGCACGAATCTTTGGGCTGCAACGGCTGGGGCTGAATCCAGCCCCTCCAAGCCTTTGTGCCCGCCTCTCTCACACGGCTGGGCTCAGAAGGCCCAAGGGCGCATGGGAGGGAGAGACAGACAGGGTGCGGTCAGGCCACGGGGCCAGGGCAGCTGGCTTCACTTGGTTTTGCCAGGGGAGAAAGCCCGGGCCGTGGGTTCCGCTGGACCCTCCCCCCCACTGCGGAGGGGGTGGGACGGGGCACTGCACAGTTTTGGGGGCCCCAGGACCGCCCAGTAGGGGACTCCCACTTGCCCCGCACGCCGCCGCAGAGACAGATGCCCTTTGCAAAGACCTGCGCGCACAAGTGCGGCCGGCCGGGATGGGCGGAGTGACGGAGAGCTCCTGCTCCCGGGGCCGGGGGGCGGG